ACCAATGACACCAGACCAATAGTGTCCCTACCAAAGTTCAAATCAAACCTACGCCCTTGTCTGACTGTATAATTTAATTTCTACCTACATTTATTAGTTTATTGTATTTTGGGGGGCAATTAATTGTATGTTTATTTATTTACTGAACATTTATTTATTTCTGTATTTATTTTTAAATATGGCAGAGTTGGTCCTCCATACTTACCTAGCAAAGCCAGCAGTTATTATACTTTGACCTTATTGTGCATAATCTGAAAGCAATGACTGTTAATATTGACTGACTGGTAATAACACTAAAGCTTCATGTCTGTGGCTATATATATATATGAATTTAATCAATTAAAATTACATAGTTATTTCAAATGTCAAGCACTTATTGAAATAAATATAATTAAATAACTGACTATAAAAACTACTCAGTAATACCCAAATTGATTTAATTTAAAAATAAGAAATAATGATAAGAGAAGGTAATTAATTTTCACATTTGCTTTGCTTCTTTTTTTTAAGTGTCGTTTTATTGTTGTTATTAAACCTTAACAGAGGGGGCAGCAGAGAGCCATATATAGAACTTCTGTTTGAGGAAGGAGAAGAAGACAACCATTGAAGAAGATGTAAAGCTAACGTTACGATAGCCTGCTAGATGAACAAGAAAAGCTTTTAAATTAATGTTTCACCTACTGATAAAGTATAATTTTTTGTACTGGTTACTCCAATGAGAAAGGCAGACTCTAACATTCGTATTTTAATTTTTGACATCTAAAGCAAGTCTTTGTTAGCTAAACAACCACTGGAGGTTGCTGAGCGACAACAAAAGCCAAACACTGCTGGCAGTGTAGCTGAGCCTTTATCCATTTACGAAAACTAGTCGGACAAATCTATTCCAGACATGACGGGGGTGGCCTCTCCGGAGAAGGCAGCCAACTCCAAGAAGAAAAATGAGAGGAAGTGTGCTTCTAAAGAGGAGTACAAGCAGTTGTCCAGCATCATGGCAGGCATGAACACTCTGAGAAAACAGGTGCAGATCGTATTTTAAAGTGTAGCATGAAAGCAATGTGTTTTTTTTATGCTTGTCAGTTTTCAAACCTAATAACACGATCGTTAATGTTTATATCTAGGGTACACTCTGTGATGTCACCCTGGTAGTTCAGGGGAAACACTTTCCTGCCCACAGAGTGGTCCTCGCTGCTGCTAGCCACTTCTTCAGCCTCATGTTTACCAGTAAACATCACACACAAACAAAATACTCATGTTGTGTTAGATTGATCTATCTATCTATCTATCTATCTATCTATCTATCTATCTATCTATCTATCTTTCTTTAGATGTGGGCATCCACCTATAGATCAAAATTTCTTTTTCGACTTTTATACTTTTTGTTGGATTATTTTGTTGTACTTCACTATTTAATTGCTATACTTTTAGAGTTAGCCTCCATCTCCACTGTGATTTCATTTTATTAAGGTACTTGTGTATCTGTATTTTTTTTTTTTGTCTTGCTTCAGCAATAATACTGGTGTTTTTTTATAACCAGTTATTGCACTATAAGTTTACATCACTGCTAACTGATTAGCTTGAATCCTGTTGCTTTCGGATGTCATGTTGCTGGTGAAGATTCTCCATCATCCAGGTCATAGTTATTCTAAAAAAGTAAAAAAAAAAAAAAAAAAACAGCAAATCACTGGACTTTGTTTCCAAATTTGAAGACGTTTCACTTCCCATCCAGGAAGCTTTTTCATTTCAAAATATCAGAATTAGTGTTGAGTTTGAGGCTTTATAGAATGGACCAAAAACAAAGCCTACGCTTGGCTTAGAAAACCAGAAGAACGGGTCCGCCTCTTAGGAATGGGGAGTCGTTTGGGTTCTTTGTTAGCCTGTAATACCCAATACTGGTGTATGCCTATGAAAGGTATTGTCGGGGGGGGGGGGGGGGGGGGGGGGGATTGGCGTTAGCAGGAATTGGTGGCCTGGCTGTCCAGGCAAGATGTTTTGGTCCCTTGAATGGGGTTTCGATGATGAGGACCAGAATGTTCACATTTTGGACAAAAAAGACAGGTGCTTGAAGGGGGTGTGAAAGAAGCCATTTATGTTAAGAAAGAAAAAAAAAAACCTTAAACAGAGGTGGTGGATTCAGGTTAAAGCTTTCAAAACCCTACAATGCAGCGATAAAGCTGATTCCTTCCTGCTAAAAAAAATTACATACAGAAATTTGATTTTATGTTAAAGCCAAAGTAATTTTCTTCTGTGTTGTTTTTGGTCAACTTTGATTTTCCTTTAAATCATTTAATGATTGATTTCCTCATGTCCAGCCCGAATGATGGAATCGATGTCTCATGAGGTGGAGCTGAGGTCTGCGGAGCCTGAGATTATTGAGCTGTTGATTGAATTCATTTACACAGCACGGTAAGGTTCTTCTATAAAATGTCTGCTATGCTTTCTCATAGATATATAGTTTGTCATTTTATTAATGACATTTCAGATTTTTCCAAGAGTTATTTTCTGTAATATTTCTGTGTCTTTGTTGCCAGAAAAGATGTGCATTTTTTCTTTGTGTGTCAGAATCTCTGTGAACAGCGGCAACGTTCAGTCGTTGCTGGATGCTGCTAACCAGTACCAGATAGAGCCAGTGAAGAAGATGTGCGTGGAGTTCCTTAAAGGGCAGATTGACCCCACAAACTGCCTGGGTACCTGCTTTAAATGCAACTTTAGTTTCAGCAAAATTACTTTAATAACTTGAGTTTATTTAACTGTTTTGTCTTTACTTTCCTCTAAAGGTATCTCAGCCTTAGCAGACTGCATGGACTGTCCTGAGCTGAAGGCCGCAGCTGAAGATTTTTTCCAGCTCCATTTTACAGAAGTTTACAAACTGGATGAGTTCTTGCACCTGGATGTTAAACAGCTCACATATTTGCTGCACCAGGACAAACTCACTGTTCGTGCTGAGGCTCAGGTACACAATACATTAATTAATCCTGGACTCATTCATCAATACTTTGGATATACTCTGACATATTTTGACCATAGGTTGAAAAATCAAAGGTACAACAAAAAAATATCCATGGATATATATATTATTAAACCAATTATATACTGATACAAAAGAATCAACCTTGTAACATTTTTTTTTTTCTGTGCCTTGTTGGTGTGTTTGTGTTTAGATTTATGATGCCGCAGTGCGTTGGCTGAAATACGACGTTTGCAACAGAAAGCAGTATATGGTGGAGGTGCTGGGGTGTGTTCGCTTCCCTCTGGTCTCCAAAACCTTCTTATCAAAGACTGTTCAGGCAGAGCCGCTCATCCAGGACAACCCACAGTGCCTCAAGATGGTCATTAGTAAGTAGCCAGAGAGAGAATTTCACTCATCAATATATAGCTTAACATTTTATTAATTTGGGGAAATTTAATCTGTCTTTTTTATTTTTTTATTTTTTTTTTTTCCAGAGTTGATCATTTAGGGTGGAAATAATCTAAACCACCCATGTTTAAATTATACATACAGGGTCAAATGTTACCACAACGTACCTACTACAACCCAGTCACATGCTTACCATTATGCATCATTGTGGCAAAATAATTTACCACCCGCATTAGTACTCCTTTAAATTCTTACTTTCTTGCTATATAACAGGATTTTAAGCTCAGTACAAATAAAGGTTTAAGCACTTACATTATGATGTATGCTTAAAGTTGAGCTTGTAGGATTTATTCTCTAATTTTTTCCTGAAAGCGTGAACTAATATCCTACCAGAATTATACAATTAGTAGAGCTGGGTGATAAATCAATAAAATAAATTAATCAAATTAGGGCTGAAACAATTATTCGGATTAATCGTGATAAATTGAAAATTGAAATGATAATTGACTAATTTAGTAATTGATTAATCGTTAACTGGAGTATAGAGACTCTAAAACATGGCAGAGCAACCCACTTAGAACAGTAATTATACCAAAATTGAAAACAAAAATATATGAAAATCTTGCATTTTTGATTAAAAAAAAAGAATCTTGTTTGTCCATCAATATGCCCTACGCAGCCTCCTCAAACGAAAAGTCTTAGTTACACCGGTTTGATTTCATAAACAGTATTCATTGGCTATGTGATCAACGGTCGAATTAATCGATTTGCAAAATAATTCATGTTAGTTGATGGCCTAAATCAACATTTTTGTTACTTAATGTTTGGAAAATGTGGATTTTTTAAAATGACTCCACTCTTTGGGCTTCTACATCTCATATAGGCATTAATTAATCACTCTTTGAACTTAGATGTGTACTTATAACTAATTAACTAGCTCCTGTATGTGATACCATCATATGCAAACATTTCATTTGTTATATTTTTATTGTTTGTTGTATAACATGATTATTACAAGATTGTTTCACAGCTTTGAATTTCATTGCCCTTTAAATTAATGTCACCTCCCAGTGGGGATGTTTGAAATCAGAGCTAGTTTTTGAAAGCAATATGTCTCTTTTGTCATATTTATTATGAAACTTAAGTGAGGAAAAAAAAAAATTAAGATTCTGTAAGAAGAAAATCAGAGATTAAAATTTTAAGCCTTATTGCCCAGTCCTAGCAATAAGCTTGCAGAGAAACATCTAGATTTTCTGCAGCTGACATTTATCCACATATTTATTGGGCTTCACATATATATTCTTGTGTATGTTTAGTTTTCAATTATAAAAGTCAAAATTTGGCACAAAATGTCTAAGCTGTACATTTATTTAGAAGATCTTCTATTGTGAACAGTATTTGGAAAAAAAAGCTGTTTCTTTACAACAAGGTGGGATGCGTTACCATCTGCTGTCTCTGGAGGACCGAGAGGACCTGGGAGAGAGCAGCCGGCCACGACGCAAGAAGCACGATTATCGAATCGCCTTGTTTGGAGGCTCACAGCCTCAATCCTGCCGCTACTTCAACCCCAAGGTATACGCTTACATTCAAATGTAGATGCATCTGAGAAGAGATGCAGGTTCTTGTGATACTTGCACTTATTCGACAACTGTAGGTTTGTGTAGAAGCATTTTCTAATTTCACTGTTAAGAGTAGCTCATTGCAACAGTGCCTTATTTTTAAGGCTCCACTGCACAGGTATTTTAAGGGATTTTTTTTAAACGTATTTGTTTATTTCCAATGCAGGACTCCACCTGGACAGACATCCGCTGCCCTTTTGAGAAACGCCGCGATGCCACCACTGTCTTCTGGGACAATGTGGTGTACATCCTGGGAGGCTCGCAGCTCTTCCCTATCAAGCGCATGGACTGTTACAATGTTCTCAAAGACAGCTGGTATTCCAAGCTGGGTCCCCCCACTCCTCGTGACAGCCTGGCTGCTTGTGCCTCTCAGGGCAGGATCTATACATCAGGGGGTTCAGAAGTTGGTCAGTATGAATACATCAGGGAAGAAAATATTTCAAATGTTGCACTGAGGTTTTCAAACTATTTAGGGCCTGATCTTCAAAGATTCTGAATAAGAGGCGCTAGACTGGAGGCACAGTATTGCAGGGGATCATTTTCAACTGCTATGAAGTCCAAATTCTGCCTAAAGTGCACATGCGTAATAAATGCTGATACCAGCAGTTTAATTCTAAACAAATGCACATAAACTACTCTCCTTGCACATTTTGAATGTTCTATGCAAGCAGATTACAGGCTTTTAATATTTTCTTTTGCTTGTTTTTTATAAATATGCCACAACATTCAAGTTCAGTACATTTTTTTTTTTTTTTACGTATAAAGATTATCTGCCTTTCCACTGCATACATTGCTGCCAGGCTCTGTAGATATTTTGAATTTTTAATATTTTTCTACTATTGTTTTGTCTAATGGACCTTATATTATGGAAGATGTGCTAAAAAACATTTGCATATTCCTTACCCAAATATGTGTAGTTTGGTCATTAGAATATGATCTGCGTACTGATGAAGACACGTGCAGAAAAACGTTTGCACATGCTGTCTGCTGCTGCATTGTAAGAGCAAATCCCTTTGCATCGACTTATAAGATCCAGTCTTTGCATACAACCATCTGAAGATCAGGCACTCAGTGTTTGGATTGAGGGTTTAGTTTCTGTTCTTCTTGACTTCACTGAATTTCAGGACAGTACTTGTATTTCTGCAGGAAGTTCCGCTTTGGACCTTTTTGAATGTTACGACACAAGGACAGAGTCATGGCAGGTGAAAACCAGCATGCTGTTGGCCCGCTGCAGCCATGGCTCCGTGGAGGCCAACGGACTCATTTACGTTTGCGGCGGAACGGTGGGCAATAACGTCTCTGGGAGGATCCTCAACAACTGCGAGGTGTACGACCCCGCCACACAGCAGTGAGTTTGATATGTCTTGAATAGGATGAAGGGAAAGAAAAGTGATTTTTATGACTGATTGTACTCAATGGCTTCCTTATAAAAACATAAGTTTGAACTATTTGGACTCTTTTTTTTCCTGATATATTTAGCATAAAGAGCAGTTGGTCAGAGGACATTACATCTGTTGAAAAGAGTGTGATATAGCAAATTGTACCTCAATCCATCTAAAAGACTTAATAGTAATACTTAAAATGTAATAACACGAACCTTGGTTCTTTTTTTAGAGTAGGGAAAAAATGAGAACAAGCTTCTGGGAAGGACATTTCATGCTTCACTAAAACTCTCACTTGTAGCTCCTACAGCAGCGTTTGTATATAAATGCTATTAAACCTGATGATGTGTCCAAAACGAGCAGCCATAACTCCCAAACCAGGGCTGCAAGGAGGACAGAAGGACATAACATTGCTCTTGCAGCAGTGGAGAAGGCTGAAAATGTATGATGTATAGGTCTTTATACTTTAATGTGTTATACCAGACTCTGTGTGAAGATATTAGAGTCCAAGAAAATGGAATCATTATTTTTATATATAGTACACTTGAGAATCTTCCAGTAGATTTCAAAAAGGTTTTCTCTGACCAGCAGCCTATAGATTATTACAGGTAGCTGCTCTCCAGCTGGTATTTTTTCCCCTCTGACTCTAATTATACCCTTCAGATGGAGAGAGCTGTGTGGGATGAGAGAGGCCAGGAAGAACCATGGCCTGGTGGTTGTTAACAACAGGATCTACGCTGTTGGAGGCCAGGGGCCTTTAGGTAACTGCAGCCACTGCAGTAATCAGGAATAAATGTTAACTGTACATCATGGCGGCTGTTCTAGCAGGATGTTTTCTGTTCTTGTAGGTGGACTGGACTCTGTGGAATACTATGACATTGCCAGTAACGAGTGGCGAGCTGCCTCACCAATGCCGTGGAGGGGCGTGACAGTGAAGTGTGCGGCTGTTGGTGATGTAATCTATGTGCTGGCGGGCTTTCAGGGGGTCGGGCGGCTTGGTCATGTGATGGAGTACCACACTGAAACAGACAGGTCAGTATATGAGTTTACTTTGTAGAAAGTCTCAACTATTATTCAAGAGGATTTCAGAACATCACTGTGATAAATATTTCATATAAAAAAAAGTGAAATGATTTCCATCTATGATGGGTTCTGTCCGTTCTCAGGTGGGTGACGTGCAGCAAAGTGCGAGCGTTTCCCGTCACCAGCTGCCTGATCTGTGTGGTCGACACATGTGGAGTGAACGAAGACGAAGATATGGAGCTCATAGACTCTCAGCCGCCCGCGGCTTCCTCTTCCTCTTCCTCACCATCTGCCTCCACCTCATCCGCCTCTCAGGATAGGAGTCACGTTTAGTGTGATTTGATTTTATAATGCATGATTATAGTTTGGAAAGCAACAAATTTGCTTTCCAAATTGTTTTTTTGTTTTTTTTCCCTCCAGAAAGAGCAAGTCATGCTGTGACGGCTCACTCTCATGTGACACGTGTTTTATTACGATCCAGCCATCTTCTTCTACTTATCTGGGGTCGGGTGGTGAGGGTAGTAGCTCCCCAATCACTTTGCCAGCTCCTCAGGGGGAATCCCAAGGCAGCCCACTGGGTCTCCTCCCAGTGGGAAATGCCCAGAGGCGTCCAGGAGGCATCCTAACCAGAGGAGGAGGAGCTACTTTGAGTCCTTCCCGGATAATAATTAACCTTTATTGATCTCACGCTGGAGAATCTCCATTTAACCCTTCCCCTTTAGGGAGCAGTGGGCTGCCATTGTGTGGCGCTCGGGGAGCAATGTGGGGTTAAGGGTCAGAAAGAGTGCCAGCTGTGGGGATCGAACCGAATATTTGCAACCTTCTCGGAGCACAAGCACACTGCTCTAACCCACTAGGCCAACACTGAGATCCTCACCCTATCTCTGAGGGAGAGCCCAGACACACTACGGGGAAAGCTCATTTCTGCCGCTTGTATCCGGATCTCATTCTTTCGGTACTGACCCAAAGGTCATGACCATAGATGAGAGTAGGAACATAGATCGACATGTAAATCGAGAGCTTTGCCTTTTGGCTCAGCTCTCTTTACCACAACAACCAGTTGGCGTACCAATCTGCCTGTCAATCTCCCGCTCCATCTTCCCCTCATTCGTGAACAAGACCCTAAGATACTTAAACTCCTCCACTAGGGGCAGTGCATCCTCCCCATCCCGGAGCAGGCACCCTACCCTTTCTGGCTCAAAACCATGGTCTCAGATTTGGAGGCACTGATCTTCATCCCGGCTGCTTCACGCTCAGCAGCAAATCCCGCCAGTGAGAGCCTTAGATCACGCCCTGATGAAGCCAATAGAAAAAACTCATTCTAAAAGTGCAGCTTTTTGTCATAAGCTTAATTTTTTTGTGTTTAAGCAAAAGCTTTATCGCTAACTTGACTCTTTGTAAATAATGTTGTGCACACTACGTTTGAAGAACATTTGTGAACATTTTATTTTCAGCTTTGTGTCATTAAAAGCATAAAACTAATAAAAAAGAATAAGGATGTATTTTTATGTTCTGATAAACATTTTTTTGTATAAAAATATAAAAAGCACCACATTACTTCATTTTAAGGCAATGTTTCAAAACATTTAAGACATTGCACAAATCACATTCATAACACGATAATTTTGCCCCTTTTCCATTTTTATTTTGCGGCTTTGGTCTTATAAAATAATAAAAAGTAAATTTCTTGCACTGTATATTTTCTGCCAATCATACATGATTTCTACTGTGACCAGAAGGTCACTCATACTTTGATCAGAGGTAATAATTTTCTAATTGTTGCCTCAAACACGGAGAGTAAGAATAAAAAGAATTGAAAATAGGGGTGTAAAACATTTCATGGGTGAATAGAAAACCTTTAGTTCAGTTGAGTTTCTCCATGATTCATCTACAAATCAACAGAAATGAATAACAAACAACAGGGATGTGAAATGGAAAAGGAGCAAATTGATCCAAAGCAGTTTCCATTAGCTGCCACATAACAGCTTTTATGCTGCCCATAAGTTTCAAAACTGCTCGGCAGTTTCCCTGGAAATTTCCGTCTTAACCATACTCCGTTTGGACAAAAAAAAGGAAAAAGAAAAACAAAACTACCCAGAAATTATGAATACAAGAGATTGACTATTCTACGAAATACCGGATTTGGCCACTTATACATCAACAAACAGTGTGCTTTGATTGAATTGAGTCAAAATTAGATGGATTTGATGAATTAATAGGAAAAAATGAGATTTAATTTTTTTTTTTTTTAGGATTCAAAACTATTGTATCAAAGAACACACAGCTATTTTTTTTCTCTTGTTATGAGTCTTTAGAATAAAGATTAAAGAGGCAGCTGTTTATTCCATCTCTACTTATACCTCTGGATATTGATCTTTTTACCCATTTACCAAAAACATACATTCAGTTTAGTCCTCCCTTCAGCCAATGTGACTGAATAAAAAAGATTAAAGTTCCTGCTTTTTAAATATTATAAAATGAAGGATGTGGTTTGAAAAAAGCGAAGGAGATATGTTTTAACCCAAAGGTTTAGATGACGGCTTTAAAACATTTACCTACATATCATTTATAGAGGTTAAATTAGTGCAAAGCATGCCAGTAAAGATTAAAAATGTCCTAAAAAGAATCACCTTAGAGCACTTTCAGCACAATCAATACATTTGGTCTTTGCTTGTATTTGAAAGATCATATCTTTGCTTCTCTGTCAGTCGTCATACTCCTCCTCACTCATAAGGAGAGCAAACCTGTTGTTAATCTCCTCTGAAACTCCCCCTCCACCCTGAGATTGTCCTCTTCCACCCCTTCCTCTTCTTCCTCGACCTCTTCCTCTCTTCTTCCCTGATTTCGTGCAGGGGGGGTTTGCTTTGAAGCTGCAGTCCTTCACAGCATCCAGCAGACAGAAGCAGAGTTGTCCAGATAAAGATCCAACAGGCAACAGGGACTCAACAGACCAGCCTCCTTTCAGGCACCTAAGGACGCCATGTACCAGGGTACCACTGAACAACCTATGGGGTTCAAGAGAGATTCCATTTTTTAATTTTTCCATCCTGGTAAGGCATTCTGGGTGGGATTCTACAGTTAATGCCCCTACCATGATATATTGGGCTCAGGAAGCGGCATCAGCAGCAGCTGATTTAGACACAGTGCACTCCAGAGGCAGGATTGCCATTGGCTGTAGCAGTGAGCCGCTCTGAGGTCTACTCCTCTCCTCTCATCCGGTCTGACTCGTTGCCCATCTAGTGCTGACAGAATCCCTTGTTCTGCTGCCCAGTTAAACTGTGGGGCTGTAACGTTTAACCGTTAGAAGTAAATCTTTTATTTAATGTAGAACATATATATAAAAATCAACGAACCAGCAGGTCTTCTGTGGGATGCTCCAGACTGAATGTTGAATGCCAGCTCTCCATAAATCATGCCTAGCACCAAAGCCTGCAGCAGGAGCTGTGAAGGAGTCGGTATGGCCTCACGCAACCAAAATCCAGTTACTGCAACAGCAAGCTGCAGATGGGGAGGAACTGGAGCCAGGGCTGACTGCTTCACCCCTAAGACCCCTAAAAGGACACCTAGTCGTTCAGCTGCGGAGGCCTGGCAATGACAAGTAAGAAAAACTACGGTTAACCAGGTTTGTTCAGGATGTTTTAACCTCTAACTGGAAATATAACAGTGATCAAGCTTTTCCATTGGCTGCAACAACATGGAAGAGTTCTAATAATTAGGTTTAGATGTGATCCAAACCGAATAAGCTTTCTATAAACTCAAGCTCTAAATATCTGATTAACTAAGGTGTTCTGATGGGAGATATGTTTGAATCACAAGTACAAATGCAAAGGTTTTATTTGGGAAAATAGTTAAGAAAATTTATTTTCTTTCCAACCATATTATACACTCATGTAAATAAGCACTCTGCCATACTGTGGATTGGAGAAATATGTTTACCTGATTGAGCCTATCCAGATGTATGTGGTTCATGGGAATAATTGCCTCCACTTGATTTTTCTTTATGTTTAGGTCCAAACGGTCATACTCTTCCACGAAGATTGAAGAACTGAAGCCGTGTGTTTGCACCCCAGCTGGATGCTCCATGCTTGTTGCATGATTCATCCCCTGCTGACCCCTGCCTGCTCCACCCCGTCCTCTTCCACCTCTCATTCCCTGCATCTGGACTGGTATCACCTTTGCAAGTTGTGCACTGCCACCTTGGGCCTGACTCACAGTGTTTTGAACTTTGTGTAGTAAAATCCCATAAAGAGCCTGTCGTATTGCTCTAGAGCTACAGTGACTGCTAGCTAGTTTACTATTCTCCACCTGCGGGATGAGAAGGACCCTCTGCATGACAAAGGCATCCAGAGCTAAAGGAAACAGCTGACCCTGTGCTGCAGCCAGAGACAAACACTCTGGTAACTGGGCCCGACCTGATATCTTCCCTCTTGGGTCTAATGTCCCCCGAGAGAACCAGGTAGCAAGCGAGCTTTGAGCCTTGATGTTGTACTCCTGCATGGCAGCCCATAGCTGGGAGCTGAGCTCACTCTTCTGCCCTCTCTGGCCTGCTCCAACCGTTCCATCCATCAGCCGGTTAACCTCATCCAACGCCTCACTCACACTTGGAAAAGAGGAGAGCCAATTAAGGAGGCCCTCGATACGAGAAGAGGGCGCTCTGCCTCTACCTCTTCCACCACCTCTTTGGAATGAACTCGCATCTATAAGAGCAAGGAGGGTATCGGCCTCTTTTGGAGAACCGTAGTCATTGCCAGTTAGAACCGCACATAATGGCAGCAACTCGCGATTCAGGCCCCCAAACCAGCGACACAGATTGTTAGTGGTGTAACATCGACATGGGACGTAGCGCTGGGACGCCTTTCCATTAAGATTGGTCCACTGGAAAAAATGCAGCGGCAGATATCCAGCTTAGAACAGAAAAGAAAACAAATATCATGTTAACAAACTTCTTGACAATCAATACAAAGGCTTATTTGGATCTTGAATAATGGAGGATAATTTTGTCTACCCACACCTGGAAGGTCAAAGATGTAAAAGTCGCTGTCGTTTGTCAGCACGGGGCAGTTCCACTGTCTTGCCAAACAGGCAATCTCCCAGTCTGCCTCGGCCGGACACTGTATCAGCGGGATTCCTCTCTGAGTCAGGACCTGAATGAAGACTTTTCCTACCAGGATTGGAAGGACAGAGCCACGGCGGCCATGAGAGAGGCTGTCTGCTTCCTTTATTTTGGACTGCAGACGCTGACGGAGAGTAGCAAACTTCTTGTCACTTGGGTCCATCCCTTAATATGATAATTTAAAAAAAATCCATAATTAAAAGTTTGTTGGTGCAACGTCCCTTTTTATAATGCAGTCATGGCAAAAAGAAAGTGCACCTTCAATTCTAGGGTTTGACACAAAAAAAATCTCCAAGTCATATTTAACAAGAAATTGAGATTCAGTGTTTCTCATTCAAGCCTGCATTTCATTAAATGCCTTGCAAGGAGGACAGATATACTATTGGCAATATTCCTGCCTGTTCTGAATCACACAGGTTTTCATTAACTACTTAAAAAAAGCAGGGAGAGATTCTCACACAGAAATTATACAGTTTCTCACATAGATGGTTTGTCATAAGCCGAAGCATTTGTTGAAATAACCTTGAGTTTATGGGAGACAAGGCTAGTACCAAAATATCTGAAACTGGAAAACAGGTGTCAGTAAGATAAGACCTGCATTCAGCCTTATCAAGCATGTGCTCTGCTTGAGTGAATAAAAAGTACATAAAGATAAGCAATCATAGTTAACAGGAGAAGGGATGAAAAAGTAAATAGATTTTTTTCCGACCATACTAATCATGACACCTTTTGAATAAGCAGAGACAGCAGTTCTCAGGTTTAGTGCTTATTTTCATACAAATACCAAGCAGAAACTACGTGAGCAATTAGAATGTTCAATAAACAACTGTTGCCCATCAATCTGAAGCGTTACAAGGCAAGACAATTTGAAGTGTACACTTCTAAATTAAGACTACACAGAGGTGGATAACATTTTAGGAAAGAACCCAGCCTTCCTATGATTGAATCTATTCAATATCAGACATTATAATGCTCAGAAAATCAGCAAACGACACAAGCACTTAGAACCGACATTAAAGTTCAGAACCCAACAATTGGGATAAGACTGAGTAAATATAGCTTGTAGTGAGAGTCGCGAGAAGAATGGATTTTCTTTCATAAAGGTACTGTAGGCAACATGGCTTCACTTTGCTTAAAGGAAATGAGAAATAATATCCTATGGAAAGATGATACCAAATTTTATTGGCGTAGTGCACATTGCAATGATTGATTTAAAAAAAATAATGCACGCTATGAATCATCATGGTGAAAGGATGTTTTTCGTGACTGCTTTAAGATATTTTTCATAATGTGTCAGAGAATCAAACAGGAATTTTCGACTGTTGTATGGAGAATAAAATGAGGCAGAAAGCCACAACTTTCACCATTCTGCTTTCAGTTAGCTGGCTAAAATAAAGTCTCCTACACGTTTCCATCCCTGACAAGAGAGCCCTATTTGGACATTTCCTACCACAAAAACATCATTGTGTAAAAACCAAAAGGGTGCCATTCTATTACTCTTCTTAAATAACTGGTTTTCTAACTACAGCTGAAAGGGTCATGTGTGTTCAACCTGTAGGCTGTCCGCCTAATAAGATAACACCAGCTACTATTCAATAAATGTAGCAGATTTTTAATCAATCAATTAATGATAATTATAAATTTATTGATGAAAACTGTAAAATTGTGTCAACTTTGTAATTCGCTTTGGATAAAAGCATCTGCTAAATGCATAAACATAAACAATGTTTTTGCAAAGTATGTGGATCAAAACTAAGTACTAATAAATACAGCTTGATTATTAGTAAATATTAATAACATATATTAATATTTACTAATAATCAAGGTGTATTTATTAGTAGTACTTAGTTTTGAATTAATTGTTTTTTTTTGGTAAATAAAGCCAAATAGAAATAATTACAGGCCTAAATTCAAAGGGAGTAGTCGTCTTGTTTTTACAGTGCATGTTTCTAATATGGAGCCTAGGTGGAAGTTTAACTGAAGAAACTGATTGCTCTCCTACATCCACCTGGGACACAGCCAATCAGCTTTGAACCACACCTCCACAAAAGCCAATTGGCATCCAAAGTTCACCTTAAAAGGCCTCCGATCCGCACCTGTCTGCTCCTGTGCGCAGGCTGTAGAAGTCCTGTGTGACTTCATTCAGATGACACCATTTTAACTCACCTCCAGCCCCTCCTCCACCATCGTAGCTAAAACTTCATCAGTGTCATTCCTCCTGGACTCTTACTGCGTTCCCTGTCTAATCTCAACCCGTTCGGCAGAAGACCGCCATGTTGAGCCTGGTTCTGCCAGAGGTTTCTTCGCCAACGGGGAGTTTTTCCTCCCCACCCTCGCTTCATGCTTGCTCATCATGGACATGTTCTCCCAACCTGAGTTATCCAACTGGACTTCCATCTTCCAGGTCCCTGAGGGAAGCTCTAGTATCAGCTCACACAATCCACTGGATCTCCCCATAAAGCTCAGTATACCGTCTCACTAACCAGCAGTCTACAGACTGACCAGCTTCATCTATCTCCACTCCACTACCAGTTTCAGGGGAAATAGCCCTATTCTTTGCTCCTGTTTATGCATATCTATCAAAATTAAGCGCTATCTTTCCTGCCGAGGTCTGAGCGGCAAAGACAAAGTAACTGTATCAATAAATTTCTACTATTTGTCTTTTCTCTTCGTGTGAGTTTTTCAGATTAAAATGTTTTTACATGGTTAAATAAAAAGAAAAAAAAAATACTATGCTCAAATATTGGTCAAAATGATCAATTTTATGCAGCTCACTCGTTTTTTGTTTTGTTTTTTTTTATGTTGAAAATAACCAGACTTTATGTTGCATTGATTGTTATTATTGTTGTTGTTGTTCAGATTTCTTTAGGAGTCAAATAAACAGGAAAACACAAACACTTGTAATAAATCCTTACCTCCATCCAGTACCACATAGGGCTGGATGTTACAGGCTTGCAAAGCGGAGAGGAACTGGTTGAGAAGGCAAGCAAACTCATCGTAGTCCCCTCCGTGCTGCTGATCCAACTGGTGGTTAAAGTAGAGGCGGAAAAATAAACTGCAGCCGTCAATAACAAGCCGACTGTCCCTGAACCTCACATCTTGCAGGAAGTTTCTGTTCGACTCCACATAGGTAGTCAACCCCTGTACACCCATGATATCTCAGTACCTGCTAGATGAAAATAGAGAAAAAATAGAACCTGATGCAGAAACAAAAAACACTAAGGAAGAACATTTTTTAATTAGTACATTGGTAGAATATCAATGGTTCCTGGAGTTTTTCCTTTCACTTTTATTATATGCATTTGCACATTATAACGCAAATATGTTGATACTATTTATAATAAAGCTACACAATTCATATGATACAACCAAGTAATTTATACTTACGAAGCTGTCATAGATCAGTCACTTGTTTTCTTCAAACGGGAACTTACTTCCTGGTTGGCTACATTTCAAAATAAAATCTGCTCAATATTTTCCTATTTTTTCCCTTCGTTCGCCTAAAGCATTTTAAATTAGAAAAAACACTTTATTTGACATAAATAAAACGTGAGAAATGTAACTCTGGGAAAAAATAATAATAAAAAAAAATCAAAGTTACAGTTTATGACGATGCAACTGAAATCTCGCGATAGAGAACGAGTACGCCAACGGCTAGCAACCGCGCTAGTCAGTTTGTTTTTTTTTCCGTGTTTGATAATTAATCCCGTTCTGCAGTGGTTACAATGTCCGGAGGAACACACCCCGGCTTTCCGGGGACAAGCCAAGCATTGGCTCACCGTAAAAAAGACAGCAGTCCTTCGGCTCGATTTTGGGAGTGTCCGGACACTTTAGCCCAGCTGGAGGTGGTGCGGCAGTGGATCGGGAAGCACTACAAAAAGGTAGCTAGGTGGAACCGCTAGCCGCCCCCTGCAAGTAGTAACCCCCGTAGAGGCACTGGAAATAATCTATTGAGCTCAATAACTTTAACGAGATACTCAGATTCGCTTTAGTGTTTATAAAGCGTTGAAAAAAAGTAGGAAGGGATAAGTCTGTAATTTTGTATATGTTTTTAAATTTCATTTGAGAAGTTTTGAATTTTGCCTCAAAGGTTTAATATTTTTTTAATTTTGCTAGCTGATAAACGATTTCTAATGGCTTATTTCCTCCCTTCCCCTTGAAATCTGTGTCTCTGTCCGTTAGTATGTGTTGGTGGATGCTCCATCTTGCCAGGTCCTGGCTGCAGTCACCTTGCAGCTTCTCCAGTTTCAGGAGGATGCTTTTGGCAGACAAGCTCCAGACCCTGCAATCACAAAGCTACCAGTGAGTTTCTCAGTTTCTTGAACTTAGAAAAAATAAATAATGATTTATAAATGATAGCCCAGAAGAGGCAATATGTCCTTTGTTCAAGCACACTCATCTCAAACTGAAATTGACTTCATTGTCATTTTATATACACAGACTGTATACAAAACTTAATTTCGATGCATACAGCTTTTCAACAGTGAATGAGCAGCTTACAACAGTGATATGAACATTACCATTTATAAAGTGCAGCAGTGATCAGAATTTAAACAGTATAGGAGAAAAGGAAAATGCAGTTTTAAGTCAGGGTGCAAAAAGTTTTGATATGGTAAGGTTCAGCACAGTGCAAAATAAATAATTATGGTGCAAAATGCAGAAAGTAATTTATTTCCCTCTACTTTTTTCTTTTCGACATTATTCAGTTATGTTCAGTATTGGTTATACTGTACTACTGGGCATTTGAAATAATGAGAAATTAATCGTCAGAAGTAAAGTTTTAGCTGTTTTTATGCAGAATAGTTTGCCCCTTTACTAATTTACTATTACCAGTGCATTACCATTTTGCCCTACTCAACTCAACTGAAACTTTATTTATAAAGCACATTTAAAACTATCGGGGTTGACCAAAGTGCTGTAAAGAAATCATAGTTGCAGAGCATAAGATAAAAAATGAAAGCTAAAATACATAAACATAATGCGAAAAGAAAAATTGAATATAATAAGATAAATGTTTCAATTTAAATAAAATAAATTTAATATAAAATAAAAATTTGCCACATATCCATTTAGGCTTGATTAAAAGCCAGGGAGAAGAAGTGTGCTTTTAGAGATGATTTAAAATCCTCACAGGAGCCTGCTGATTGAATATGCCAAGGCAAGTTATTCCAGAATCTCTGTGCTGCAGCCATAAAGGCATGCTCACCTTTGGTGGTGAGGGCTTGCTAACTTATTGTTGTGGTTGTTTTAGGTAAGAAAAATGTGAATGTTTCTTAACCTTAACAGCTAATCTGATCCATTCTCTGTAGGCCCATTGCTTCCTGGACTTGCAACCAGGTGGAGGACTATGTCACATCCTTGGCACTGCTTACAAATTCAAGGTTGAGCAGGGCTGGTGGGTAACGAGCATCCTGCACTTATGCCCTTATCAATTCTCCCTGTTATAAACAGCCATGTTTAATGTTATTTCCTGTATATCTTCACATAGGAGAAGGTTTGACCTCCAGAATCCATCAAGAACTGAGAGAAATGTAGAGATGTTTGTTGCAATTGAAAAAGCTCTAATCCAGGTATGGAATATCCAGATAAAATAAAGATAAAAAAACAACTGATTTATGCAAAGGATTATCTTATAACATCTGAGATCAACTTTGTCAACAGAACAACTGCATATCGCTGCCTCTGGTTTTCATTGATCCTGCTGTTGATGTGGAGCTGTCCAGTAGGCTCGTTGGTATTATCATCAAACACAAGGTAAAATGCTACAAAATAATATATTTTGTTCTAACAGAATATATTTAATGTGGGATTAAATCAGTTGTGTGTAACTTTTATATGCGCCTTTTCCAGGGGGCAATTACTGAGGACAGGATAATGGCCAGTCATCACGTATACGGCTCACTTGCTTCTACAGAGGAGGGTCAGTAGATCTCCTTTTATCTGTTTACTAACATCGTATGGCCTTTTTTAAGTTTTGTGTTCACTTTTATTCTTAGATGAGTGGATGCGTCCTGTTATGCGAAAGGATAAACACGTTTTGGTCCACTGGGGCATGCACCCTGACAGGTAGTTTAAGAGAGAAAATCCTTAAATGGAACTGAAGCCTTGTTTTTAAACAAAAAAAGTTACACTCAGGAGGCTTTTTGATCTGTATTTACAGCAATTTTTTAAAACAGGGAAAAAAAGAACATAACCATATTTTACTTTTCTTTTCTTAACAGTTATGACAGCTGGCTGTCCTCAAGTGATGTGGAAGGAGACGTTGAAGAGCTGCCACACTTAGAAAGGCCATGGAGGGTTAGCATAACAATACATAGAAATTGAAAAATATTTCAACTAAAAAAATTGTAATGAATCAGACTTAATGGAAAATTACTTTTTATAGCAAAACAGTCACTGGGTTCTTAAGCTTGAGTATATTTACCTTTTTTATTTCTTAACTCTGTGTTATTATGGTGCTCCAATTGCTTTTTAAGTAACTTAAGAAGAGGTATTTTTCAGGGAAACACTTGGAAACCTCGCTCTATATATTTTAAACGATGCTATAACAACTTTAATGTTTAATTTCCTATTGTTCAAGTTTGTTTTGTTTGCTATCACTGACAGCACAGCTCAGAAATTCTGCAATTTGAAATATTTTAGCGCAACAATATCAACTTACCAACAATACCTTTTTTTTTCCAGAAATCTATAGTGCAATTAACTCACAATTTTTGTTATTAATTCTATAATATTACTATATATTAATTTGACAAAGTATGTTTATGTTTAGTTCTCTTGCCTTAATTTTGGTATATTTAAAAAATTTTCATATCTAAGGAAAAAGGGTTATATGGGAACTACTATTTACTGAGTAGTAAATATATATTTTATGCAAGTAAATAAAAAAAAACAGTAGGAACATCTTTATTACATGAAAACAGATTTATTATAGGCCTACCAAAGGGTACATTTAACCTAGATTTTTAAGTATTAATGTAACGTTCATTGCATGCTTGACAGCTAATGAAACAAATGACAAACCATACCTAATTCCAATTAGGGAGAGATGATTAAGCTTTAAGGAGGATAGTCCAATTTTTCTGTGGAATATTTTCAGCGGGAGAAGTGCTAGTGGCAACATGGGATTTACCCAAATAATTGTAATCTGTGTTTATTGTTTTAATGTATCGTGTGTGCTCTCCAGGTTAATGCAGGTTGGATCCTGGACACAGACGTGTTTAATGAGTGGATGAATGAAGAGGACTACTATGTGAATGAGAGAAATGTGCCACTCATCCTTCGACAGCGAATCCACCTTAAAGAGGATCAGGTTTGTGTGAACTTGAAGCTTTGGTGCGTTTGTTCTATTCAGCTTATTTATGGTCTGTATTTTCTTCCCGATTTTGATAGAAATATTGTTTAGCAAAAGGAAAGCAACTATGGCTGTTCCTAAAGAGATGATGCTCTGTTGAGAATAAAGTAAAATGATCTATTTTTATGTTAGGTGTCATAATATTTTATATTTAAGGGTATCTTTTTTAACACTCAAAAGTTATGCATTTGTCAAATTATCACAGGACTCTAAGTCCACACCATCCAAAAAGAGGAGACGTTCGCCCTCTCCATCCACTGATGGCAGGAAAAAAGGAAAAAAAGGGTAATGCTTGACTATATAGTTCAGGCATGCATATATGTTTTTGGTTTGAAGTCACCAACCAAGGCTTTTGATCCTATATTAATGTGATTACACCAATGCAGGAGAAGGCGGGGCCAACAGGAAGAGGAGCCAGAGGAGGACCTGACCAAAGACATGGAAGACCCAACGCCAGTGCCAAACATGGAGGAAGTCATTCTCCCAAAGAATGGTAAAACCAGCTCAAAACAAGATCCAGATCCAGCTCAAATATTTAAGCTGCAAAAACATTTTCCTTCTAAACTTTGCCTTAATTTATTTATTTTTTTTTCAATCTGTGTAGTGAACCTGAAGAAAGATAGTGAGAATACACCAGTGAAGGGAGGCATCATGGCTGATCTTGGTAGGCGAGCAAATGCTACAGCAAATGTTCTTGATGAGCCCAAACATTGTGTTCAGTTTAGAAGTTCTGACTTATTGTCTGTATTAATTTTTCATTTTTTTTATTTCCTTTCAGATGATCAGGATGATGATTTTCCTGGAAGGGTAAATAGTCTTTTTATTATGCTATGTGTCTTATTGACTATTTGTGATTTTTAAAATACTAGAAAAGACCAGAGAATAGAATATTCTTTAAAAGTCTTAAAACATGTGTCTAAAAGGTGTTTTTTCCAGCTGATTGTAATTATCATAGTTAGTCAACTTATGTAAAACTATTGTCAGAAAAACAATACAAAAGCAACAATATTTGCCATGAAGCCTTTTGAGACGTCATTGAATCTGAATTTAACTTTTTCTCGATCTCACTGCTAATTGAATAAACGGAAGGAAGGGTTTTGGTAGGTCATATTATACCTTAAATCAGAGGTCTTCAACAGGGGGTCCGCGACCCCTAGGGGGTCCACAGAGGTACTGCATGGGGGTCGTGAAAGTTTTGGTTGATTAGACTTTTTTTTATTTTCCCCCCTGCAACTTTTTCCACTAATTGAAATGTCTTTAAATACACATTAATATGAATTCAGCACACTGTAGTTAACAGATAAATGGAGGCAGAAGATGTCTTTCAGTCATCAATGCACACATTCAGGGACAC